CCATGTAGAGCTCTTAGAATATGCCTGGCACTTTGTAAGACTTTAATAATGTTAGCTATCGAAACACAATAGAACATTGCTGTGATCATGGTTTTCCTTATTTGTTGCCCGGACTTCTCAGCTTGCAGTTTCTCTTTTATTTCTATTAATGCTGTCTTCTGAGTCACTGGTGTTTCCTTTATCACTTCTCTCATCACTCTTAACCGCGGAAATCTCTCTCCAATCCAGAGATCTAATAAATATTTCTGTTCTTGCAGAATTAAAAGGGGTTGCTTTTGAACATTTGATTCTTTCTTATTCCTTTCATAACAACAACATATATTATTTTAGAATTAATACACATTTGCATAAAATCGACATTTATTTATCAAACTGACCTGGAATTCATATTTAGTGTCATCAGGAGGGAAAGCAAACTGATCCTTTTTTCCAATCCGGTAGTGAAGTCCCCCTAGCACACTAATTGTACAATTAGTCCCTCCCGCACGGATTGCTGCTGCTTTCTCCTCTTGCATATGTTAAATTCACAACTATTTGCACCAAAGGCATAGGTGGGAAACAGCACAGTGCTTGAATGGAATGTGATAATGCAACTGAAGACGGGGAAGGGGGTGGTTGCCAGGCAGCAGGAGGTCTAGCTGCAACCCAGAGGGAAAGAAAAAGGTCGAAAGCCTCCTTTCTGTCAGAGGAAACGTTCCTTAGAAGATTCCATCCTTGTGTGTGACACACAAAGCACTTGCTCGTATGACGTTTGGCCAAGCACTTCCTATGTGTAGAGCTGCTTATGTGCAGATAGGAATAGCACCTGTGTCATGTGCAGATACACGTGTCGTGTGCAGATCGTAATAGCGCCTACGTCAGAGGGTGCTGTGCCTGAGAACTAACCTTAGGAAGGAGCACTGGCTTTGGAGTCAGTCAGCCAGGCATCTCATCCCTGGTTCCACCACTAATTAGCTGCATGACCCTAGGCAGTTTCCTAATTTTCCAGCCTGTTTCCTCATCAGAAATCGGTGACAATTAATAGTAATTGAATTAGGGGCGCCTGGGTGGCTCAGTTGGTTAAGCGTCTGCCTTTGGCTCAGGTCATGATCCTGGGGTCCCGGGATCGAGCCCAGCTTCCCATTCCCTGCTCAGTGGGGAGTCAGCTTCTCCCTCTGCCCCTCCCCCCGCTCATGCCCTCTCTCTCTCAAATAAAAAAGCTTTAAAAAATAGTAATTAAATTAATGTCATCTAGTATATTAGAGGGGGCGCCTGGGTGGCTCAGTCAGTTAAGCATCTGCCTTTGGCTCAGGTCATGATCCCAGAGTCCTGGGATGGAGCCCTGCATCCAGGCTCCCTGCTCAGTGGGGAGTCGACTTCTCTCTCTCCCACTGAACCTTCCCCTGGCTCTTGCTCTCTCTCTCTCACTCGCTCTCTGTGTCTCTCAAATAAATAAAATCTTTAAAGAAAAAACAACCCCCCCCCCAGTAATTTAGAAATAGAAAGTGATAGTAATAGCTATCTTAGGGGGTTACCGGAAAATTAAAGAGCTACTACATTTAAAGTGCTCGGCACAAGGGTACCTGGCACATAATAAGCTTTCAATAAATTACAGTTGTGGTAGTTCTAATTTCTATTGCTGTTTTGGAAGGATCAGGAAGAGAAAGAAGATTTAGCAAAGGAGACTGAGAAGCAGGCACCGAAAAGATCTGGGAGGGGGCTGTGAGACAGGGGTGTCAGATACCAAGGGAAAATAGTATCTAGAAGGGGAATAATGCACAGGAAGGTCATGCAAAGTCTGGTTTCTCCTGAAAAAAGACTCATTTCCTCTCTTAGCGAGTACTGAAAGTGAAGGGAAAAGGAAAACAAATTCTCAAATGAAGGCTATCAGACACAAAATTCTCTAAAAGCCTTCTTTCAGCTAACTCCCTTAGTTTGATCTGAATGCCCAGGTCCTGAATACTGGAAAAGCCAATGTTGCACAAAGTGAAATAAAGTATCAGGTTTGCCTCGTTTTGGTGGAATAAAAAATTCAGACAATTTTAAGTGTACAGGACGAAGAGGAGGATGGGGGAGGGAAGAAATGGGGATGAATCATAGAATGGTTTTACAAAGCCGTGGTCTATACTGAACCCCCAAACTAACACCGGTGAAAAGGAGGGCAGTGGTAGGTGTCACATTTATTTTTCTTTTCCCCCTATTTGATCCCAGAAAGTTATGACAGCATAAACTGTTTATTTGGGTAAATTATTCGACAAGCATTTATAGAGTAAAACTGAGAGAAGGTGATACTTTAATCTAGGATAGATGAGTGGGCAGATGCCTTGCAAGGGAAGATTTAGAGAAAGGGAGGAATAAAGGGCTTACAAACCAAGAGTCAGGGAATGTTGGCAGCCCCTGTGGCTTTGGGGGCCTGAGTGGAGTTACCTGTGGCCTGGGGGTGGGGGGAGAGTCTCTTTTGTCTCTGGAGAGATGGAGGTGGCCGCCAGGGGCCCAGAAGTGCCCACAGAGGGATGCAAGAAGTGGGCCTCGTTGTTACAGGATTTATTTTCCTTCGGTGCCCAGGGTTCTTGGTCATACCTCTTCAGAAGAGTGAAGAGGTAGACCAGATGCACAGTAGTGGGCAGCAGAGCAAAGTTCATTGAGCGATAAAGTTTATTGAGCGATAGTAAAGTTTATTGAGCCATAGTACAAAGCTCCCGAAGAGGGAGGGGACCCGAGAGTGTTGCCACTGGAGTTTCTGAGTCTAGGGGATTTTGGGGGCTTGTTGGCGGGCTGTTTTAATCTGATTAACCCACCATGCACCTGTCACACAATCAGGTTTTTGTCATCTACCTATCACATGGGAAAGGGTGGAGGGCTCCTTCCAGGGTGGTGTAAAATCCTTTTAAGGGTGGTTTCCTCTTAGGGCAGGGGCCCCTTGTCCCTGCCTGCCTTTCTTCCAACTATCCTTCATCACTCATGAGCCTTTGCTCTGGCCAGTTCTCAGCTAAAGGGTCTGAGGCAGAAGGGCCCTCCCAGTCTCCTTCTGCCCATGAGGTTAAGGAGGTGAAGCTTAAGGCAAACATGGGGAGCTAGGGTTAGGGGAGGGGTGCTGACAGAGCACAGGAGGCTGAGCCTCCACCTCCCTCCACTGCGAGAGAGTGTGTGGCTTGTGTGGAGGCTGTAAGGTCAGATTAGGAGGTCAGGGATGGAGCAGGAGCAAGAAGCCAGGGAGGAGCTGAGGGGGGCAATTCTGGAAGGAGAGGCACTTCTTGGCAGGTTCTAGGTGTGGCAGCCCAGAGAAGGCTTCAGTGGGCTTCTCGCATTACCTGGCTTCTACCCCTCCCTCGAGGCCCGAGGCCCGAGCCTGCACCCCTGTTGAGGGGCCGACTGCTAGCATAATTAGAGCCCCAAACACCTCCCTCCCCTCGGGACCACACGGCCCAGGGTTGTGTGTGAAAGCTCCAGAGTCTGCCATTCCTACCAGGCTCGATGTGAATCCCCTGCCCAGTCAAGGTGTCCTCTCCTCCCCTGCCTGTCTTCTCCTCTCCCCTCCCTCTACAGCTCTATGCTGCCTCGCCTCCACACGCTGTCTCCTCCTATGGCACACTCTGTCCTCTCAGCCCTATCTCCTCCCTGACAAACTCATCGGGTCTGCATTCATTCCACTGCATTCCCTGCCTTAAATAAAATCAGCCCCAATCAACCTTGCCCTGCTCACAAGGATAGGGACTGATATACCGACAAAGAATAGGGGACCCTGTTCTTTGGACAGAGCATCATTTTTTATCACCCTCCAGTCTGAGGCTGTGAGATGGGCAGGAGCAGGTGTCCAGGAAGGTTCTTCTGTGCTCTCTTTTCCTATTAATGTCCTCAGCTCTAAAAGGGTATGTGGGCTTTCTGATTCCCATGTTTTTTCATATGCCCTGGCACCCAGATGGCTTTTCATCCTTCCTTGGGTATTCCCATTTGTTGGATCAGGACAAGGTTAGCTGCAACTCCTTGGGCTCCTTGGTGTCCTCTAGCCTGTAACCAGGGGGAGGCTTGGGAGGTGCTGAGCTTCCTGGTACTAAATTCTCATGAGTGGCTGCTTTCTCAGTACTAAGGGCAGAAGCAGAGGGTAGTGTCAGCCCAAAGGATAGTCTTATTGATGCCACCAGCTGTTCTCCAGAAGCAGCAGTAGCCACAGTCTAAGGAATCTACCCTGCTCCTTCCCAAAGTGAACAGGAATGGAACCCTCCTGAAATACCCATTTCCCACTTTTGCCCCCACCCCTGTCCATCATCATATTTCTCAGGATACATTAGAAAAGAAAGCATTGGAATATCAACTAGTGGGTGCAGATTTGACCCTGACCCTCGGAGACAGGTCAGTTGTGATAAGGGCCTTTTTGGGAGAAATTCCGCCCATTTCAGCTTCCCTTTTCCTCATCTGTAAATTAGGTTGGTGAAAACTCCACTTCACAGTGTGACCCTCCCCCACTAAAGCTTCTATATTTGATTCTTATTTATTTTTCCTCTATATTCCTAAAAGTAACATCACACACAGAGACATTGAACTTGATGCTTATATATATTCATTGACACAGAGCTCCACAACATATAGTTTGGTAAAAAATACACAGTATAGAACAGCACTTTTATTTGTTCACTTATCTATACATATATCTATCTGGGTACACAGTTACAGGGAAATACCTAGAAGGGCATTCATCAAAGGACTGACAATGTTTATATAAGGATGAAGAGTTTTGGGTAATTTGTATTTTCCTTCATTTTGTGAAGGTTTAACAGTTATACTCCTTTCATAAAAAGAATAGTCATCAAGGAAACGGACACACACACAGAATAGACCCTTAGGCAGACAGAGGAGGGAGCAGGGACAGAGTTCAGGCCATCCCCTCCACTTTGGTGATATCCAAGACCTCTTCTGCCCACAATAAATCCACTTTGTGGATTAATTAATGCAGATAGAAATCTACTCCCACCTCCGCTGTTTTTCCCTTCTGAATACAGTTAAGGGTTCACTTAGGGCTCATTCTAGCACCTTACTAGAGGCCCAGAGAGGTCATTGTGTTTGCCAGGAACCTCTTTTGACCTCTCCTCTGTATGTGTCAGCTCCTGCAGGGTGATGATCAGATTCTCAATCACCTGGGCCTTGTTGCTCTCACTGTTACAGGTTTCCTTTGAGTGGCCCTCCTCACCACAATATGAACAGAAGATTGTGTATTTTCACTTCCTGGCTCTACGCATATCCCCAGGACCCTTATTCTTATACCCAGAACCCCCACTGGTGGAAGGAGATTGAGCCCAGGAACTGTTGGAGGAATCAGTGACCAGTACTGGATCGAGAGGTCTGGCCCTGCCTCTGAGCGGCGGGGCATCGATGGATGTAAGTAGAGGGTCCTGAGACTCCATCAGGATCACATCCTCATCTAAGTCATCAAGGGTATCATCTACCTCTATCATGTTGCAGTCGGCACTGCTGGTTGCTATTGGCTGGGGCCCCTGAAATGCTACAGGGCTTGCTGCCCTCTCCAAGATTAGCTCAGACCTTTTGGGCCGTTTCGATTTCATAAAAGTGTCATTCCAATCCTCTTCCTCCCTTATCATCTTGATTAACTCCAAGAAATTAGGAAGATGCTCCTGATCATTTGCATACATCCTGAGAAGATGTTTCAGCCTAAAGTGCAGGTCCCTATTTAGCTCAGCTCCTAAAAGGAGCTGGTGCAGGCGAGTCTGGTTTGCATCTTTCTGAGCTATGATCCCTGCCTGAATAGCATTCTGGAGCTGCACTTCTAAACGGATCACATAAAGGGAGGCTTTCTCCCCTTGTGCCTGCAAAGTGTTAAAAAATTTACCATGGGCGGTGACACTGCTTTCAGACTCCCCAAACACCAGTTTCATCGCCCGCAGGAAATCAGCCACACTTAGATTGGGGTTGGCGGCCTGGAGCAAACGCATGACCTCCCGGGCTGGGTCCCTAAGGGTTTTCATCAAGCGCTTGAGCTTTTCCTCCTCAGACATATTCCAATTGGGCAGGACCCCATTGACTTGGATCAGCCAGTTTTCAAAGGTTTCTTCCCCTTGGGCTGGCACCACTCTCCCGGAGAATAGCTTCACATTTCTTTCTGCCATGTGGACCCTTAAAGGACCAAGACTCCTCCCCAGGGACCTCAAAATTGAATGGGCCCAAGGTGGCAAGGGTGTGTTTTGCCGCCGGCTATTACCCACACGTGCAATGATGCTAGCCATGACGGACGACAGTTGTCTATCTGAATATAACAAGATGCTCAGGCTTTTTAGAAAAGCCTAATCTGTAGGAGGAATCCCCAAAGCAATGTTCCCAGGCTCTGCCTTCCTTGTATCTCAATAGGGACTGTAAAGAAAAAGGGGGGGGGGGGAAAGGTCAATAATGTAGTAGATTGCAGGGAAGTGGTCTGCAGTCGCTTTACTTTAATGAACACCCCGCAGTACATTTTATATTTGCCCACTGACCTAAAAATACCTTGCAGAAGACTGGCAATTAAAACTTTCTCGAGCTACCGGGTGTCCTCCTGCTAACAGGGTACTTTTCCATCCCCTCTGACCAGTCCTCCAGGAGGGAGGGCAACTGTTGCTTTGAATTCTAGGTGAAATAGTGTGTGTGGAGCTGTTGTTGGGCTCTCAAAATAGAGTGCAATGGTCTAAATCTCACAGATTTATGATAATAAGTATCTGTGTCATTGTGTGTCAACTATACTCAAAAAAAATTTTTTTTTAAGATATCTGTTAAACTCACGTTTCAGATCTCAACCACACACCCTTCTGAAGTCCCCCCCCCCCTTATTTCTCGGATTATAAAACATAAGCTCGGAAACAAGTGCACGCCTTTATTTCACTTCCAGCCTCTGCAACAGGTGCCCTCCATGAGAAAGCTCGTCTTCAGGGTAGGTCGACCTCTGTCCACTGGGGGTTGCAGATCGCAGCCCTGACCTCCGTCCAGTGGGGTTTGCAGATCCCAGTCCTCAGGGCGTCAAGACTGCGTCGTCGCATAGGGCAGGACAGAGAAGGGAAGGGTCAGAAGCAGCCTCATCCCTCATCCCTCATCCCGCTCCCTTTCCCCGCCCTCACCTCCGGGAAAATTCCATTTCCCATCTTCAGACAGAAAATTCCCTCTCCCACCTTCTGAATACAAGTCAAAGTGACCCCTTCCATTACATGTCCCCTGGGAAATTGTTGGCCTACCAGCTCTGCAATCAGCTACTCAGACAGAATTCAAGTTCGGAGTTGGCTGATGGTCTGCCACGGAGAAACGGAATAAGAGTTGGACACGCACACCCACATATTCCTCCCCAGGAGGAGATGGGGAAATGCAAAGGGGATTCAAAGCAGACAGCTTGTGATTATCTCCTCCTTGTCCCTTATGACCCCTACCTAAAAACGCCTCCCCCCCCCCTTTCAATTCTGGCAAATCCTACGCCTTTGGCAGCATCCAGCAAAACCCGACCTCTTCCCTCAGCGCAGCGGGGCCATGGGAGTGCTCCTTCCCCGGCCTCTCAGTTCTCGATTCCCCAAGTGGGGACCAGCCCAGTACTGGTGGAGCTTCTCCTTCCTCTCTGCGCGCCGGGCAATCGCGCTCCCCCCCCCCGCCTTTTTTTTTTTTTTTTTTTACCTGTGCCCGGCTGGTGGGCAGCGGATGCTCCGGCGTGGACAGCTGCGGCTGCCGCCTTCCAGTCCCCGCGGCCCTGCAGGGGAAAAGGATGACGCCTCCTCCGCCGCCGAGCGAACCGGAGCTGCGGGATGGAGCTGCACCGCACAGCCGCCCAGCCAGGGGTAGCGAAGTCGAGGCAGCACGGTTCCCACGGCAGCGGCGGCCTCCCCCGCCCACCGGCCGGGCCCTCCCTGCAGCCGCCGCTTCAGTTAGCTTCTGCCCATTGACACAAAAGAGCTTGATGAGCGGGACGGAGCGGCCAATCAGCGGGGCGCGGGGGCGGCCTCCCTTCTCAGCCTCCGGCCCGAGGCCATTGCTAGCAAAAGGGGGGAGCCGGCCGGCGGGGGCTGCGGCACACGGGCGCGGGAGCCAGCGCCGTGTCAAGTGCAGCTCGGACGCACCGACCGGGCCGATTTGCATTTTACCCGTGAGTTTGCTGCTTCCCCTTCGCTTTCTTTCTCCCTCACCCCTTCTTCCATCTCGACTCTCTTCCCTCCGCGCTCTGAGACCGGATGCGTTAAACACGAGGTGGGACAGAAATCAAGTGAACAATAAGAGCCCCTCACGTTTGTATAGGGGGAAGGGGAGAAAGCATTTACTGAGCACTTTCTGCGTGCGAATGCGCTTGCACGGACATCTCATTTATTCTTCTCAGCAGCCCTGTGACGGAGGCAGCGGTGTGCCGGTTTAATAGAGAGGGCACTTCACCACTCAGGCAGTGTGGTTTAGGAAGGGCAGAGCGAAGAGCTCACACCGGAGTCGACATATACGATTTCAAAGGACGCCCCTTGTAAACACTCCGCTTTACTCTCAGATTGAGGGTTAGTAGAGAAAAGCCACAGTGGAGATGGGAGGGCCCATTTGGAACTATATAGAATTAGTGAGCAAGGACTATTAATCTCCATTGTACAGATGGGGAAACAGAGAGGTTAGGTGTCTTGCCCAGCATCACACAACAAGTAAGTTTCAGCATCCGATTTTGCATCCAAGCCTGTTGTTCTAATGCTAGCTATTTGCCCAGCTGAGCTGCCTACAGAGTATTTCTACGTCGGTGGTCTCAAACCCACCAGCAGTCTTGGCCTGATGGTAGTGTTGAGTGAGAGGGGTTGGGGGAGGCAGTAGGGAGTAGGGAAAGCGGTAGGTAACTTTTGCAGGAACCACTGTACAGAAAAGGAAGCTAAGCCACTTTTCTTTCTCATTTTACACCGTTTTTTATACTACAGTAAGCTGCCTGTTTATTTAAAAAGAAGTTAAACATTTCTACAGCTTATGAGCTCAAAGGAAACAAGGCTCAGAGGTGAGATGACTTGCCTGAAATTACAAGGTGAAGCCAAAATCTGGACCAAATCTCTCTTACACCAGAGCCCATGCTATTAACCAAAGTATGGGTACAAGACTGGCTGCCTCAAAATCATGTTGGAGAGCTTGTTAGAAAGGCAGATTCCTGAGCTCCACCTCGGGGGGATTCAGATTTACTAGGACTAGGGGTGGGGAGTGTGATTTACACTTTTAACTAGTGCTGTAGTTAATTCTGAGGTGTAGAGAAGTTTATGAATCACTGCTGGAAACACCACATCATGCTGAGGGTCATAAGTAAATAGCCTGCTGCCAATGTATCTGCCCGCAGCACATCTGTCATGACACGTAACTCCAGTGAGCAGAGGTTCCTACCTAGGGTCCTTTCTCAGATCGTTTACCAAGAATTTGGACTCTGTATTTTTCTGAGTCCTTTGTTCTGGAGATTTTCAAGTAAGTCTGTGGCCCAGAAATGGTTTAAGAATCATTCCCCCAGCATCTTTCTTGGTAACATCTTCCTCTTTCAACTTGCACTTCAGGAAGAAGTGTGAGAAATGAAACAGTTTGACCTAACCCCTGATCCCCTGCTCTCAGCTGCTGATACAGCTCTTTCATTTCCTGGCTTGAGGACAGGTTGCTAGGTTGCCCTTCTGTGAGCTCTTGAGGGGACCTCTCCTTTGCTGGATTTGGCATCACTGGCCCCAGAGAAGGAGCAACTCCATGGAAACGGCATGCAGGGCTGTCCTGCAGGGCCGCCAGCTTGAATGGGCTGTGAAACCAGTAGCTGAGAAACCTTCTCTATATTCTATGACTTCTGGTTCTTAGAGAGCAGGTCTTACTTTCCTGATGTAAATTGTGGTTAAAAGGCCCCCTGTGGGGCTTGTTCTGGACTCCTGATGCTTAGAAGCAAATGAACAATCTAACGCCCTTCGACTGTTCTTGGGTTCTGTTCTTGGGTTCGTTTTCAACCTGCCAAGGTACTTCTCCTGATGCTCCTTTCTGCCTTCTTTTCTAAAACAAACCCAATACCTAGAGTTCCTTGAAGTAAACACTTCAGATTTGGGGATGAGGACTTTTTTTCTGAGGACAGTGGCCTTTCTCTTGTGGATGGAACAGTGTGGGAGGGGTGGTGGAGGCTGGGGTGTATGGGAGGTAGAGAGAAGGCTCCCCTCACACAGTCAGGGTGATGCTGGCGGTAGCTCTTGGGTTTCCTTCAGACTTCTGCTCCTGCTCCCCAATGCCATGACATCTGACCCTGGGTCTCAGCAGATTCTTGTTCTGTGATTAAATTAGCTTCACTGCCAACTTAGGTGATCTGCCGCTGGTGGAGGTGGGGTCAAATAGGACAAAGAGCTAGAGCTCCAACCAAAAAAAAAAAAAAAAAAAAAAAAAAAAGTGAAAGGAAATGGATTGTGTAAAGGTGGCTGGATTGGACCCTTCAAACAAAGCGAGGATCTCTTTGGGCAAGGTTGGGAGGAGGATTTGCTAAGCTAAGCTGGCTCCATTTGGATACAGAGCATCCCTTATCTTTGGCCTCATGTGTGGGAGCGTGTTCTCATTCACGGCTCTAATGACACCACATTTTCCAATTTCAACAAAGAAATCTTAAAAGCCTGAAGGTTAGGGAGATAAAGCTTTTCAGCTGAAACAATAATAGCTTCTCTTGGCTGCCTGCCTCCCCTGTGCCAGGAACTTTCCATCTGTTAGCTCATTTAAGCTTCTCAGCAGCCCTGTTAGGCATCTTTATCCCATTTTGCAGATAGGGAACCTGAGTTTCAGGGAAGTTAAGTAATGTATATAAGGCACACAGTTTAGAAGTGGAGACACTGGGACTCCAGCCTCCTCAGGGCTGTCAAACTCCAAAGCCCATGAACAACTTTGCTCTGCTGTCTCCCAAACAAGCAATTTAAAATGAATTTTGCGGAAGACCCAGAACATTAGACTGATTTCCGCCTTTAGAAAAAGTGTGGTTGTAATCTAATCTTTATTTCTGGGATCTCTCTTTTTTTTTTTTTTTTTTAAATGAAACTACTAATATAACTTACGGAGCAATTGATATACTGCGTACTGTGCTAAGAATTTTATATGCTTCATCTTGTGCAAGCTTCATGACGATCATTATACAGATAAGGATACCAAGGCTCAGAGAGGTGAAGAGACTTGGCTGAGGTCCTAAAGCTAGCAGGTGGCACAGTGAAGTTCACACCCAGGGCTGTGTGACTCCAGAGCCTGTCTCTTTATGCTATACCGCGTTGCAGTGGGGAAAACAAATATGGCCCTTATTCTAAATCCGCTCCCTCTGCCAGCCACAGCTGTATTTCCTTCCCACGGCCTGCCCCCAGAGCTGTTGTACCACTTATGCTTTTAGGTCTCTGTGCCTTAGACCTCTTCCTCAGCCTAGAATGGCTGCCCTCACTCCTTTACCTATTGGTTAAGGATCAAATCAGATGCCCCTCCTCAGAGAAATTTCTTGGCTGCTCCCTGTCCCAGGTAGCATGAAGTGCTCCTGTCTTTCTGCTCTGACCTTGATTAGTGTGCCCTTTATTTTGCTTTCCAGTATAGTTTAGCTCATTGTTGACCTGTCTCTCCCACTAGACTCCCAAGCCCTTGAAGGCAGGTACCAAGTCCTATTCACCTCTAGCTTCATAGTAATTTACCCACAAGTGATTTAGTAGACGATCAATATGGGTTTGTGAGCTGACCAAAGACTGGCGGAGGGAGGCCCTGAATGGACAAATAAACATGGGGCTGGATCCTGGGGTGGTCGCACAGGCTGTCCATCTGGACTAGATGGGCCAGGGCAGTCTGGAATCTCCTGGGCTCACTTTACTAGGCTATGAACATGGGAGGCACAACATGGAGTCTAGGTAATAACTACTCAACGCTGACCCCCGGTGCATTCTGTGGTCTGTACTTTGGAATTCATGTCGAGGGGCCAGACCGTCCAGAATTGTTTATAGAACATCTTTGTATTCGCAGAAGAAAGGTTTTCGCTGCCTCCCATGTGAACACAGGATTTATTCCGCCGTACCTCTTCATCTAGTTCTGGCTGATCTGAGAGTGTCCTGCAGGAGCATGTGCTCTGTGGAGACAGATGGAGAAGTCAGGAAGCATCTCTTTTTTTTTAAAATACTTTTTATTGAGACCACTGTGGCATGGATGCTTAACCACTTTATCTCATTTTATTCTATTAATCTTTGCAACAACCTTTGGAGGTAGGTCTGTTGTCGCCACTTCATGACAAAAGAAACAGAGACTGAGAGAAATGTCTTGCCTAAGGCCACACAACTAAGGGATAGAGACAGAATTCAATGTTGGATCTCTACCCCCGCCCCAAGTCTGGCATCATAACAGGAGAATACAAGGGGAAAAAAGTGGATTCTCCTCCTCCCCTACAAAATAGGAAGAATTACATTTATAAAATGATGAATAGATATTAAAGCTAAGGTGTTTCTAAATTACTGTTCGCCTTTAATTCCTGAAAATGATTGGCAAAAATGGCAGATGGAATTGGGGATGGGAAAGCACGATTCTGCTATCAAATATCGGCCCAAATTCCCCCATGTCAGCCCCCAGTGACATGCACAATATGAGGATGCCTAGAGAGCATTTCACTCCCTCGGCTCATTTTATAATTGAGATGGACGAGGCTCCAAGATGTCAATGAATTTCTAAAGGTCATAAGGAAGTTGATAACGGAACTGGCACTCAGAAGGCTAGTCTGCCAAATCCTAGCCCGGTGTTTCTGCTAGGTCCGCCTGCCATATGCAGTCAGTCAATACATGTTTATAGATTACTCAGGAAAATGTGGAGATGTGGAACATTACTGCACTTTGAGATAGAAGAGGGGACAAACCTTTCCTTCACTACCCATCCTTATTTAGGTGCAAGTAAGATTTGGGGGAAGAAATTCCTTGGTAGTAGATCTGGGGAATGTTGGGGTTGCCTGTGGTTTTGGGGGCCTGAGTAGAGCTACCTGTGGCCTGGGGGTGGGGGAGGGGTCTCTTTTGGCTCTGAAGAGACGGAGGTGGCCACCAGGGGCCCAGAAGTGTCCCCAGAGGGATGTAAGAGTGGGCTTCATGAGCCTTTGCTCTGGCCAGTTCTCAGCTAAAGGGTCTGAGGCAGAAGGGCCCTCCCAGTCTCCTTCTGCCCATGAGGTTAAGGAGGTGAAGCTTAAGGCAAACATGGGGAGCTAGGGTTAGGGGAGGGGTGCTGACAGAGCACAGGAGGCTGAGCCTCCACCTCCCTCCACTGCGAGAGAGTGTGTGGCTTGTGGGGGAGGCTGTAAGGTCAGATTAGGAGGTCAGGGATGGAGCAGGAGCAAGAAGCCAGGGAGGAGCTGAGGGGGGCAATTCTGGAAGGAGAGGCACTTCTTGGCAGGTTCTAGGTGTGGCAGCCCAGAGAAGGCTTCAGTGGGCTTCTCGCATTACCTGGCTTCTACCCCTCCCTTGAGGCCCGAGGCCCGAGCCTGCACCCCTTTGTCCCTGTTGAGGGGCCGACTGCTAGCATAATTAGAGCCCCAAACACCTCCCTCCCCTCGGGACCACACGGCCCAGGGTTGTGTGTGAAAGCTCCAGAGTCTGCCATTCCTACCAGGCTCGATGTGAATCCCCTGCCCAGTCAAGGTGTCCTCTCCTCCCCTGCCTGTCTTCTCCTCTCCCCTCCCTCTACAGCTCTATGCTGCCTCGCCTCCACACGCTGTCTCCTCCTGTGGCACACTCTGTCCTCTCAGCCTTATCTCCTCCCTGACAAACTCGCTCAGGTTCTCAGATCTACACTGAGCATTCATTTCTTCTTGATCCCGAATTGCCTTCATGTGTCGAATTGCCTTCATGTGGCCTGGATCCCCAGTTACCTCTCATCTCTCTATCCCCACTAGGGCTCCCAGCTCTTTCTGGGGTGGGATCAGTAGTTTGGGGCCCTTGTACTCTATCTTCCCTCTAGCACAGGGATTCTGAACCAAGGATGATTTTGCTTCCCAGGGGACACATGGCAATGTCTGTAGGTAATTTTGGTTATAGTAGCTGGGCTGGTCCCAGCTGGCGCTACTGGCATTCAGTGAGTGGAGGCCAGGATGCTGCTAAACGTTCTATGGTACACAGGACTGGCACCCGCAACAAAGAATTATCTGGCCGACGACGTCACATGTGTCAAGGTTGAAAAATCCCTGCTCTGTTATACAGCTACAGGACTACAAGGATAGGCTTGGAAATTGCTAGGTGTGGAGCCTTGGTGCTGACCTTCCAGGAACAGCTACTCTTTCGGTTCCTCAATTGAGAAGAGGGGGGCGGTGCATTGCCATGGAACAGCCGGGACACGGGCAGGAATCTGCAGACAGAGAGGTGAGGGAGATTCCTCACTTCCCAGATTTACTACTGGCTTTTAGAGAAAGTATCGAATACAACTTCTGATTGCCTTTCTGCCTCTATGATATAGTGCCGCTCTTTGGAAAGAGAATAGCAACTTATTATTCTAGCAGTTTAGCAAATGCAAAACTTTATGTGGTGACTGTTGAGTGCAATAGGTTTTGGAGCCCCCTTTCCCCAATTTTGTTTTCTTCAGTCACAAACCTTCTTTGAATATTAGAATATTTGATTTGTTGGTAACACATGGTAGGGATGACTGTTCAGGAAAAAAAAAAAAACTGCCTCTGTTTTAATTTGACGTTGATGACTTCTTTTTTTAAAACTCTTTTTTTAATTTTTATTTTTTTTAAGGTTTTATTTATTTATTTGAGAGAGAGAGATTGAGAGAACGAGTGGGAGGGGGGGCAGAGGGAGAAGCAGGCTTCCCGCGGAGCAGGGAGCCCGACACGGGACTTGGTCCCAGGACCCTGGGATCACGACCTGAACTGAAGGCAGTTGCTTCAATGACCGAGCCACCCAGGCGCTCAAGGTTGATGACTTCTTAAGACTGTGCCTATTTCTCAGAAACTGGCCCAAAGTGTTGCTTTTTTCCTTAGGGCTGAGTTTCTTGGGGGCTCTGTTTCTAACTAAGCCGTGAAAATGCCACCGACAAATTTAATGGGCTAGTCTAACCTCTTTTTTTTTTTTTCCACTCTTGCCAGTTTCTTCCATCTGTACCCAGTTGTCTTCAGCATGGAGGAACAGAACCACTCTCCTGGAAAGGAGCTTCAGCATAGGACACGAGCGGAGTCTCCAGGAAAGAAGAGCTGGCACTCCCAGGCCTATGCCCTTGGGGCCGTTTCCAACTTTATGTCTACTTTTCTGACTTTCCCTATCTATAAGGTTGTGTTCCGGCAACAGATCCATGCCGTGGCGGTGTCAGAGGCTGTGCGACAGCTTTGGCATGAAGGCCCTCAATACTTCTACCGGGGAATATACCCGCCTCTTCTCTCCAAGACATTGCAAGGGACTCTGTTGTTTGGGACTTATGATAGCCTGCTGTGTTCTCTCTCTCCTGTTGGGCCACACTCCCTGAGACACCGCTGGGCTGCAGGGCTCATGTCTGGTGTGGTGGAGGCTGTGGCACTGAGCCCCTTTGAAAGGGTGCAAAATGTACTCCAGGATGGTCGCAAGCAAGCCCGCTTCCCCAGCACCGTCAGCATTCTCAAGGAATTCAACTCTTATGGGCTTTGGGGGCGGCTGTCACTGGGCTACTATCGTGGTTTCTGGCCTGTCCTTCTCAGGAACAGCTTGGGGAGTGCTCTGTATTTTTCCTTCAAGGACCCCATCCAGGATGGCTTGGCAGAGCAAGGTCTGCCCCATTGGGTTCCTGCCTTAGTGTCTGGCAGTGTCAATGGAACGATCACCTGCCTAGTTCTGTATCCTCTGATTGTGCTGGTGGCCAATATGCAGTCCCATGTTGGCTGGCAGAGCATGCCAAGCCTGTGGGCCTCTGCTCAGGACTTGTGGGACACTCGGGGCCGAAAGGTGTTCCTGATCTACCGGGGAGGCTCCCTTGTCATCCTAAGGTCCAGCGTGACATGGGGCCTCACTACGGCTATCCATGACTTCCTGCAGAGGAGGTCTCATTCCAGGAAAGAGCTGAAAGACTGACTAGCTGCAGGAAGTGTGGCTATGGCAACTTTGTTATCCTAAGCCTTCCCAGGTCGGTCTAAATAGCTTATTACTTCTTTGGCTTGGTTACCTGATACAACCATTCTTTAGTGTCTTTGAACTGCCAATGCATGGGAGAAGTTCCCAGCTACCAGCCTGTTGGGCACAGACAAAGCCCAACAGAGTTCCTTGGTCAGAAAGAGAAAGTCACTCTGGTCTGTCCACAGTTTCAACAGCCGCGGACCAAGGAGGCCCTTAAAAAACTTGTAACCCTGATGAAATGTCATTCCTTTAAGGAGTTCCTTGACAGTAAGAGGAACTGTTGAAAGATGACCTTAGTTAGCCACTGTGAGTTCTGGGATCCCTCCAGTTGTCCTTTGGACCAAACTTAGTGGAGGACCAGGGACTCCAGTGTCAAAGAACTAAGCTTGACACTTAGGATGTGGATTCCATAGAACTTCTCAGATGGCTACATTTCCACGATATTGTTCACTATTTCTACCACCACCACTCTCACTTCTCAGGGCTGTGGGCTCTAGTTTCAGTCAGGCTGGCAGCTGGGACTAGAAACCCTAAATTATACTTGCCTCAACTGATCAGATGTCACAGGAACTGATGGGACTGGATATAGGAGTGGGAAGAAGTGTTGTCATGGGGCGCCTGGGTGGCTCAGTCATTAAGTGTCTGCCTTTGGCTCAGGTCATGATCCCAGGGTCCTGGGATCGAGCCCCGTATCGGGCTCCCTGCTTGGTGGGAAGTCTGCTTCTCCCTCTCCCACTCCCCCTGCTTGTGTTCCTGCTCTCACTGTGTCTCGTTCTCTCTCTGTCAAATAAATAAATCAAATCTTTAAAAAAAAAAAAAAAGAAGTGTTGTCACTGGTTGGGTGGAAAGAATAGACTTTGAGGGAAGAGATTTAGTTGCATGAGAAAAATTTACTCTAGATGGCTTGGTGTTATCTGCCAGGATATTTCTGATAGCAAGGCAATAACATTGCCTAGAAACCACTTGAGTTTCCCTAGGAAATCTGGAAGCGAAATGACCATATCTCTTCACAAATGATTGCATATTTTATTGCTGTGGATAAATATAGTGACTGTGACAAAAAGATCAGAAATCTTAGCCTGTCCTTCAGAGCCATTCGACATATGGCCCCCATATAACTTACAGCATTTTATCACACCACTGCCACTTACATAGATCCCATACAACCAGCTAAACTGGACTATTGTTCTCTCCCCAAACATGCCATGAACTTTCCCGTGGCCTTGCTTTGGCCCACACTATTTCTCCACTTGGAGTGCCCCTTCCTCACATGCCAGTCTGCCAAAATCCTTCCAGTTCCTCAAAGCCTAGCTCAGATGCCACCTTCTCTATGGAGACTCTTGATATCCCACAACTGAATGTGACCTTAGTCTCTAATGACACCCCTTTCCAAGAACACTGCATACATGGCACTGATTCCATTATGTCACTGAGTTCATGTGACCCTGTGTTCTTGTTGGTGTTCTTCAATACCTCCTACTAGACTGTAAAACTCCTTGAAAGCAGGGGTTCTTGTATGCATTTTAAAATCTCCCATTGTGCCTAGGTGCTCAATAATGTTGGCTGAATTATTGAATTGATTATCAAGCTGTGATATGATCTTTATCCTCAGGGTGCTGTCCCTTGTACATGAAAATAATGTTATTGACTCGCTGTCAGCAAGACACATGCCTCTGGGGTGTGGTTTTGTTTTCTTTTATTAGTGGATTTAGTTTTATGCTAATGATAATGATGCTGCTGTAATTAATAATAATAATAAATGACTTTCAACTGGAACATTCGATGACTTTGTGTTATTGATGGCATGTTTGCTATGAGCAATGCCATAGGAAGTAAAATTTCACAAACAGAAACACACTGCATAACTATCCCATTCATTTCAACTCTGGAGCTTTGAAGATTTCCAAGATGACATATGTTGCAGTTTTCCCCTTGTAGATGATAATGATAATGACCTCCACTTGCACCTCTTTACCTAACTGAATTTGTCATTTAAAATGACCTAATTATGGACCCTAGCTGGGAGAATTCCTCACTTTAATTTCCTCACAGAAATTAAAGACACAGCAGTAGGCAATGTGAGATCAGAATGCATTTGCCAGCAAGGTCAATAGACAATGGCTGGTCCAGAATAGCTGCAGACGAGTTCCCATGTCTGATCCTTGTGGAGACTTGGACGGGGTAGGATGGTACTCTGTGGATTCAAGGACAGGGAATACAGGGCCTGCACAAGGAAAGGTAAAATAGAATAGTAGCTAGTTCTGTTTCAAGGCTAACTCTTTCAAGGAAGAAAATAATTTACAAAAATTCATAGCTTATAGCTGTGGGTTTTTAAAAAATAGTTATTTATTTGAGAGAGAGAGTGCGTAAGCATCAGTAGGGGAGGGGCCGAGGGAGAGAGAGAAGCAGACTCCCCGCTGAGCAGGGAGCTCATGTGGATCTCAATTCCAGGACCCTGAGATCATGACCTGAGCCAAAGGCAGACGCTTAACCGCTGAGCTACCCAGGTGACCCTATAGCTGCGTTTTTTAAGCCGAAAAGGAGATAAACTACCATACTCCCCCACCTTTTAATCCAAGAGATGCATTCATTTATTTCCAAGTATGCTATGGATTTCCACTTATGTCGCTGTGTCAGTCCATGTCCCTTTCTCCATTTTAACTTCTTATTTAGAAATAATTTCAAATTTATAGAAAAGTTGCCAGCATAAGTCAAGTACAAAGAACACCTATATACCCTTTACCCAAATTCACCTACTGTTAACATTTTAGCCCATTTGCTTTATTGAGCACTCATTCCCTAGCTACACACACACTATTTTTTCCATGAACTACCCAAGAATTGCAATCTTAATATTTCTAGAGTCAATATTTGTAGATTCAAATTACTTTTCAAAGGCTGTGTTTTATCTCTATGACAATGGCACAGTTACTATATAGATGTTCCCCAAGTTAACCGTGGCTCAACTTAGGATTTTTTGACTTTACGATGGTGTGAAAGCAATAGGTATTCAGTAGAAACTGCACTTTGAGTTTTGAATGTTGATCTGCCGGGGCTAGTGATATGTGGTAGATAGTCTCCCGACCTGGGCAGCAGCAAAGAGCCGAGGCTCCCAGTCAGCCCCACGATCAAGAGGGTAAACAATCAATACACTGATAACTGTACCCACACAACCATTCCGTTTTTCACTTTCTGTACAGTATTTAACAAATTACATGAGGTATTCAATATTTTGTTATAAAATAGGCTTTGTGTTAGATGATTTTTGCCCGGCTGTAAGCTAATGTAAGTATGCACGTTTAAGTCAGGTTAAACTAAACTATGATGTTTGGTAGGTTAGGTGTATCAGAGGCAATTTTGACAAAAGATATTTTCAGCTTATGACGGGTTGATCAGGATGTCACCCCATGTAAAGTTGAGGAAGATCTATAGACTATTAGAAAACGAAAATTCATGACCTATTTTAAATTTACATTGGTGGTAATTGTTTGAATTTACTATATTTGCCCTTATAGAAATTTTAGTTTTACATTAGTATGTTAATACTTAAAGCTATGTAATTATAATATTAACATGAATTTACAACTAAAGCTTGTTGTAATTTAAATAATAGATTTTTACAAATTGCTTCATATGAGAACCTAGGCAAAATTACGTAGACCTATCAACTTTTTCCATCTAAGTCTTCGGAGTAAAGTTTGAGTGTAATAGTTTTCTAGTAATTTTAAATATCAATATTTAGTTTTGTGATGTTAATGTGGTTATATTCTCTGTCATTTAAAAAATGACTTTTGGACTTGAGATTAGTAAAATAAGGAGGTAATAAATACCTATGTCTGTTTAAACTTACAAAATGTAGAATTTAATGCTAAAGTTACTTAGTATGAAAAGTTGAAAGAAAAAGAATAAAAATTCCCCCTATGAGCCCTGTTATTTTTGTCTTAAATATAAACCATCAGCTTTTCTAAGGTGAAATAACTAAGGTGAAATAACTAATGTATTACTATTATTGTTATATGGTTTATTAAGACTTAATTTTGTTCTTAAAATTTATTTTTAAACATTAAATAGTAGTATAATTTACATTTTTGGAACAACTGCATATAGTATAGTATATTCAAGCTAATAAAATAATGTTCCATATGAGAGAAAAAGCAGCATAATAAATCACGAAAAAAGTAAAAAGTTTTCATAAAGGAATAAATAAAAAATACCCTATTTCCCTATATTCTCCAACTTCTCTATTTCTTTCATACCACTTTCTTTTCCTCAAATCTTCAACACTTCCTCACCTGTCCTCAGTCCCAGTTGGCGACCTTGCTTTCCATTTCATTAAGAAAAGAGGAGCATTCAGAAGAGAACTTCCAGTTAAAAGAACATTTATAATCACCCATGTAATGACCACCCAAGACAGGAAATAGAACATTTGATAACCCCCACCCCCTCACTGTTCCTGCTTCCAGTTCCCCACCAATGATGACATTACTCTCTCCATCCAGGAGGTAACCCTTGACTATTGTGATATCACTGCTTTTCTTTATAGGTTTTTTCTTCTATATAAGATTCTCTAAATGCAGTTTTGTTTCACAGATATTTGAACTTTATATAATTTATATATTTGGAATTGTGACTATCTTCTTTCATTCCACATTATTTATGAGATTCACCCATGTTGTTGCAGGTAGCTGTAAATGTTAATTCTTTTTAAAAAATTGTGACAAATTTACTTTAAAAAGTGTTTCTTTCTTAGAGCAATTTTAGAGTCACAGCAAATTTGAGAGGAAGGTACAGAGAGTTCTAATATACTCCCTGCTCCCACACATACATAGCCTCCCCTATTATCATCCCACACAAAAGTGGTACATTTGTTATGATTGATGATCCTACATTGATACATCATTATCACCCAAAGTCCATAGTTTACCTTAGGGTTCACACTTACTGTTGTATAGTCTATGGGTTTAGACAAATGTATAATGACATATACCCACCATTATAGTATCATACAGAGTAGTGTCACTATCCCTAAAATCTTCTATGGTTCACCTATTCACCCCCCACTTCCACCAACTTCTGGCAACCACTGACCTTTTTACTATTTCCATAGCTTTGCCTTTTCCAGAATGTCACATAGTTAAAATCATACAGTATGTAGCCTTTTTAGATTGACTTCTTCTTTTAAAAAAAGTAAATATTTAATATGCAAATATTAACACATTGTGTAAATATTAACACATTACTGCACAAGCAATGGGCCAAACAAAAAATCAAATGGCAAATCAAAATATGTCTCAAAGCAAAAGAAAAAGAAAACATGATATTCCAAAACTTATGGGATGCAGCAAAAGCAGATGTTAGAGTGAAATTTATGTTATAAATGCATGTATTAAGAAAAAAATTCAAATAAACAACTTAAAATTACACCACAAGGAAATACAAAAAGAAGAAATTTAGTAGAGGAAGGAAATAACAAAGAAAAAATCAGAAATAAATAAAATAGAGACCAGAGTAAACAATAACATAACACTGAATGTAATGACCAGTTTTTCCAAGAAAACAAACAAAATTGGCAATGCTTTAACTACAGTTAGTAAGAAAAAAAGAGAGAAGTCTCAAAAGCCAAAATGAGAAATGGAAAACAATTCAAGAGATAACCACAGAAATACACAGTGTGATAACAGATTACTATAAACAATTATATATTAACAATCCAGATAATTTAGAAAACAAACAAACAAATTAACTCCTAAAAAACCCCACAAGATACCAAGATTGAATCATGAATCTTGAATCCAAGAAATAGGAAATCTTCTTAGACCAATAACAAGAATGAAAGTTGAATTAGGAATCAAAAATCTCCCAGCACAGAAAAGCCCAAGACCACATGGTTTAATTGGTGAATTCTACCAAACATTAAAAAAAAATGATTAATGACAACCTTTATCAAAATCTTAAAAATAATGAAATAGTGGTGCCTTGGTGGCTCAGTCGTTAAGCATCTGCTTTCTGCTCAGGTCAAGATCCCAGGGTCCTGGGATCAAGCCCTGCATCGGGCTCCCTGTTCTGTGGGAGGGGGTCTGCTTCTCCCTCTCCCACTCCCCCTGCTTGTGTTCCCTCTCTCACTGTGTCTCTCTCTGTCAAATAAATAAATAAAATCTTTTAAAAAATAAATAAAAATAATGAAATAGAAGGAACACATACAAAATCATTCCATAAGGCCAGTACCACACTGATAACAGAGCAGGGTAAAAACAATACAAGAACAAAAAAGTCTAGTTTGTCTGATATAAGTATTGCTACTCCAACTTTCTTTTGACATCCATTTGCATGCTGTTTCTCCCTCCCACACCACTTTTAATCTGCAGCTGTCTTTAGGTCTAAAATTCTTCTCTTATAGGCAACATACAGATGGTTCTTGTTTTTTTTTACCCATTCTATGTCTTTTGATTGGAGCGTTTAGTCCACTTACATTCAGAGCAATTATTGATAGATACATATTTATGCCATTTTATTACTTGTTTTGTCATTGTTTCTGGAGATTTTCTCTGATCCTTTCTTGTCTTTGTCACTTTTGGTCTCTCCATTCCACTCAAAGAGTTCCCTTTAATATTGCTTGCAGGCGTAGTTTAGTGGTCAGGAACTCCTTTAGTTTCTGTTGTCTGGGAAACTCTCTATCTCTCCTATTCTGAATGCTAGCCTTGCTGGATAGAGTCTTCTTGGTTGCAGATTTCTCTCATTCAGCACTTTGAATATATCATGCCAGTT